GTGGGAAGCAACAAGTGACAAGCCTTGTCTTTTACACACACGCGTTCTGCCCCGGCGTAAGGTGACACGTTTTGGAAATCCTTTGCCGAAACAAGGTCAGATCCAGCCCTATTTCTGTATTCGGGATTGAATTTCTAGTATTCTACATATATACAGACATTTCAGAGAGAACGTAAAAGCACGTGTGACTGTAAAAGGTTTCAAAAAAGGTTACTGGAAACCCCAGCTGAACTGGTACAGCATCGCTGTCCTCCCATCGGCCTTTAGTTTCCTAAGAAGGATGAAGGCACCTCGACTAAGCAGCTGTCACTGTCTTTACTTCATTATTGTACAGTGCTATGACATTAAAGACACCTTTTTTGGTATTTAAAATACCTTCTTGCCAGCAGTACCAGTCTCAAGCATACAACTAACAAAAGAAACCCCCTATCAGAAAAACTGATAGTAAACTAGAAGAAACCGCTGGCATAAATCACAGTATTTTCATCACGGGTTTTTTCATCGTCTCTGAATACCAGCATCTCTACCCAAGCAGTTCTCTTAATAAAACATTGGTAGGTCTAGCAAAAAAGAAGAAGAAAAAAAGTCGTTAAAAGAATTAGCATGAATATACCTTAGTAACCACATCAGTGAAATCATTCAACACCTAAAAATGGCGTACACTTACAAGTGTAAATATGCAAAAACTTGGACCAGAGAAGCCCATAAGGCCTGTTCTCCGATTTAAATAAATGGGTTGTAACTGTTCATTTTTCTAAACCTGCTGGAAGCTAAAAGCATTTCAGCATTCGCACACCTCTGGTTTAGAAACTGACTTGTTAAACTGGTGCACGAACTGTGTTGAATAGATCGTAGTGCTGTAACGGTCGACGGTCAAACACCATTAGGGAAACACAAGCAATTGCTTTCTTCATCTGTTTGAAATACAGGTAACTCATAGAAATGAATCTTTATTTTATAAAGTTTTGCCTTACACTGGAAATTAATTTTGTCCACGGACAGTGGGATTCAGTTGCCCGAATGTCTAATAGGATGTCCAAAATGGATATGGCAGCTATAGCGACCTGCAAAAGGCTTGCCCTCTTCTAAAACAGCAGCAGGACATCAGATGGAACGCCACAGAGCATCAAAAATGGCATAAAGCACCTATATTTAGGTACCAAAATCACGCAAGCAAATCTCATTTTGCACTACACAATTATAAACTGCAGTTAAATACAGAGTCACAGGTTTTTTTCTTCTGGAATTCTTGAAAGATTCTTACTCCTGGACTTTCACCTCCTTAGCATAGAACTTGGAGACATCTCCTACATTTGAGCCCCTTCCCCTTTTTTTTCTTTTAAGGGGTAAGCAATAGAACAGTGGGGTAAAACTGTCCATAACATGCGGCACACCAAAGTAAATACAGTATTAAGAACATTCTAGTAGGTTCTTCCAGCTCTTGCAAAAGATAGATGTTCTAATGAGAAAATAATTTCAAACTGATCAACCCAATTAAGGAATGAAAGGAAAAATACCTGAAAAAGGTGATCACAAAACTGAATACTTGGGGAAATGCATGAGAATCCCACAAGGTGATACAATCAGAAAAGCAGAACTACAGAAAGATTAATTATGCCTTCAACAAATTTCCATCTGTGCTGGATTCTGTCTTCTCGAGTAATATCAAGGGAAATCTCAAAAGCAGAATGAGCATGAAATAGCAACAAGCAACAACAAGGCTATTGCCAACAGTATGACACAACATTCAACATCAGACCCAACATGCAAATTTGCAGAGCGAGGCAGCAATTACAAGGAAAATCAATCCAAAGCACTGGTCAGAACCACAGAACGAAACAAACCCACCAAGACAGCAAGACCACAGGAATCCAAATATCAAAAAGTGCAGTGAATCGCAGAGAATGCACAAAAGCCAGAACACCACTCAGTATATCAATTTAAACCGTTCGTACTTGACGGGGAAGTAGCACATCATAACCATGATACCTAGCAGGCGACCAGAATTGCTCCTTACCCATCAGTTCAGAACACAAAGATTTCAAAGAATTAGAGAGCCTCTCTGCTCTCCAGGTAAGAGGCAAACAACCAAAGCACGATGCTTGGCAGATGGCATATTCAAAAAGGTATTCCTTAATATTATTATTGTTGTTAGAAGTGACACCAGTGTATTTCAAGCAGTTTCTTCACAGTTTTCTTTCACGTACAGCTGCCTGATGTTAATACTGATGACCTGACCATGAGTGGTTAAGTGTATCAGGAGCAGTGCCTATCCATGTGGCTGATGTTCTGCAACTCTTGATCTGCCCGAGACTAAACAGCGGACAGCAAAAGTCTGATGAGGAAAGCTTCATTCTCTGTGAAACTTTATTCATTTCAATTTAAACAGCATGAGTGCATACCTTCCAGATAGCTCTTCTCTTGCCAGCACCATGTCTATTTGACAGGATTGCCTTATCACTTTCTCCTACTCCTTTTCAAAGGGGTGGTGAAATACCAAATTGAACACTCAAATTCTGTGATCGCTTTCAGGTTGGTAAACAGAGCTAGTAGTCAACAACCAGAATTTGTTAAATTATCACTACTGGAGGCTAAGAAGTGACAGAAAAAAAGCAAGTCACTGACAAAATTCACTGACACATTAGGATCTGGCCTTCTGGGGTCAAAATAGTTTAAACTGATAGTCTAGGATCTAAACAGATGTGCTAACGCCACTTCTGTATGTTTCTGAAAATAACAGAACCATTTTCACTTCTCTTATTTCTGATAGAAATTGAAATTTAGCTGGATGATAGTAGGATGCTTTTACTGAACATGCCCATTGAAAGAACAGCAGGTGAGACAAGTAAAAGCAATGGCATTCTTCCATGCATCATCCTCTGGTGATGCCAGAACAAGGTGCTTCTTCAAGCTGGCTGTGCAGATGTTACTAATATGAACATTTAGCTTCTCTGTGCTTTAGTCAGCAACAAAATTCTTAACACTGATATGTACAAGCATTGTTCTAGGCTGTCTGCAGTCTCAGAAGACATTGTAATGCAGGTTTGCAAGCAGTCCACATTCAGAAAATCTCTGGATTCTTTTTAATGAATTTTGGTGCCCGTGATTTCAACTATCCATGAAAAATTCCTCTGCCAGCATTACATGATTTAACAGTTGGCAAATCTGCCCTCAATATGTGCTAGGTCCTGACTTAAATGCCCACGGGTATCTTGCATCAGTAGAAGTAAAACCAGTGAAACTTGCCCGCTTTGGATATTTGTTACATTGGGGGAGAAACAGAAGAAAAAAAAGGCAATTGTGGCTGAAGATTAGAGAATACCAGCTAGGATGGCAGCTAAGTTACAGAGCCAAGAAAAACTGCCAGCTTTGGAGCCACCCTTCCTTTTTTCCCCAGCAGGAAGCCATACCTATTCAGTAAATACTTGCAAGAAACAGGAAGCAAAATGACGGGGTCTGAATAGGCTTCTGGCTTCTCTACTAATGTACTAGCACAGGAAAGCCAATACAGACTGGGCAGTTACAGAGTTGTGGAGAGCGTGGAAAGGGCCAGGATGCAGTTAAGGCATGGAGCTGTTGCAAGGAGAGCATTCTGATTTATATAAAAGAAATGCCAATATTTTCACCTTTCTAAAAGCCTTAAGACTCTGGTTTTGCCTTGTAGTTTCACTTATTACCTAATATTAAGGAAAAGAATCATTTAATATAAATGTTAAAATAATGTGCTTGAGACTTTTTGGAAAATGGCTGGCAAACATATCCAGGACTTCAGTATCTTTACTTTGTTAGTTAGTGGCAAGGTAGTCAATTTTCCATAGCTTCATTTATTTTCATTATTTATGAAACAGGTTACAAAGAAAGCCACTGCATTTTTAAAGGCAAATCATTTCAGCTGTTAGGATCAACAAGATGACAAAGGAAGACAAAGTGGAAGAGAAACAAGGGACAACAGAATGGGCTCATAAACTGAGGTTGCTACATTAGACAATATACTTCAGTGTTTGATGCATCTTGGTATAGTGGGAAGCCGAGTGCCTTGGTTATGTTTGTACAATGCTGCCAGTGTCAGTGAGACTGAGAACAGAGCCTTCCCTTCCTCCTAGCTCTGCAGGTAATTGGTGTAACAAGAATACAGATTATTACTACACAGTTCAAAATTGTATGTAATTTGTTTTCTTTCTTTAAATATTGGCTCTTCAAAGGGAAAACAAAAGCAATGTCAGTCAGGGCACAACAGGCTCTACATGCTACAATGCCCTGAAGAATCATCATAATTACAGTTAAGAGAAATTCATGGTCCTACTAACAGCAATAGATTCGGAACCATAGCTCACCAGCATGCGGAGGGAGGTCATGACACAGACATGGAGCAAACATCACAAAGAAATGGGTGAGCCAAATGGACACTGAGAAACAAAAACTGTACCTGGCAAGAGCTGTCTTTGAGCAGCCTTCCTGAGAAATATGAAAAAATGCAACCCCTTACCCCCTTTCCCTTTGATATGGTTTTAAACCATCCTGGGGAGCAAACGGAAGAATAATGATTAGCATGCTTATCTGTCATTTCTCATGCTAAAATTTGAGAACGCTTTTTCCTTTCTCATGAGTTTCTTCTGAGGAAGGGCAGCTTCTTGTGATAGGGACTTCTTGTCATTTAGGCACAGGACATATGGTCAATCACAAAAGAACCCTGTGTCCCGATAGATGTGCAACAATTTAAGCAATACTTAGAAGCAGCTATGTAAACTGTAAGATCAGGTCTTCACAAAAAGTTAAGTTGTCATCAATTACACAGTAAAAAAATTGGATGCTAATATCATGTTTCATTTTATAATTATCTTCTATACCTTTTCTTTGCAGTAACTTTTAGTGCTTTCTAATAGTTAACGGCTATTTCCTCTATGTCCCAGCCCACAAGGTCTTACAGATCTCTCAGCATTTGGATCGTCCATTGATCACGCAGCATTCCAAGACATTTCAGATACAGGAAGCACTGGTACTTAGTATTTCTGTAAAGAGATCAGAATTAAATCAGTAGCATGACATATGCTCCCCAGTATGCTTGCTATTAAAATCATCTGTATCTAATCAAACTACATTTATATATTTCTTTTATTAGTATGTGAATGTATATGCTGCTTCTGAATGTGCACCCACCAATAGCTTTGGGAGATGATTTTCATGAAAATAACTGAACGTATTAAGACTTCGTGCACACAAACTGAAACAGGTTATGAAATATTTAAAAACATTTCAGCAGGGCCAGCTAGAAAGCAGCAACAGCAGAACGTTTTGTTGCTATTGAGGTGTCTTTTTAAAAAACTGAAGGAAGTTTCTGTGGCCTAAAAAGGAGGGCCAAAGAAATCCCAGGGCTATTGTGGAAGACAAAACGTGGCCAGACACGGCCACTTACATTTCTCTTGACCCTGTAGTGATCCTTAGACCAAAACTGCTACTCTGGAAGGAAAATCCTGTGTTTTCTTTCCTTCATCATCTTTCCACTGAGTTAACGGCAGACAATTGGGAATGCAGGACTCTAAAATACACACGCACACACATACTTCTTGGAATACTTACAAAATTTTTCTACCCATAGAATTCTTTTTGTAGATATTACATGACATGGCGGGAAAAAAAAAACACCACCTCAGATGGGTAAATTAGGTTGCAGGCTCTGATATAATGCATGACTGGCAACAGATTTACTTGTACAATAAAACACACAGGTAATATTCTCACTTAAATTAAGGACAGTCAAAGCACATCACAACTCCTTTTTATTTATTTTTCCACTTACGCTAAAGGCTTCACCTTTTTAATATTTTTCTGCAGTTGAAACATACGCCTTTCTGAACTGTGAGTTTTCTTTTTGTAAAAAGTTAACATTTTTCTTTTTACAACAAACTTTACCCGTTTTGTCTTTTTTTAAACTCCATTATGAAGAGAAATGCCTGGTTTTCTCTGATAATTTATACCAATTATTGGTACCTCCTGCACAGAAATAACCCAAAAGGCTTATTTACATAAACCAATTGTAATCACAAAATGCTGATCTATCACAATCTGGGCCAGAGACATTGGTAGTTGACTAACACATTTAGCAATTTTGATGAGGCTGATTTTTTAGGCACAGAAAGGTCTTCAGGTAAATACATCTGTCTACAAATCATTCAGCTGTTGGGGGGGGGGGAGCCTGCTAGAACACCTAATTATATAAATGATTTCATAAGTTCTGGAATAAGTAATTTGATTTCTCTGTACATCATACTATTGTACATGAAACATATAATAGCAACTTTCCATGAAGCTTCAGTAACTTTGAATTATGAAGTGGTGGAGGGAGGGGAACAGGAACCCCAGAGTCTCAAAGGAAAGGTGCTTTGTAAAAGTAGTAATAGAACTATTAACAGTCATATTTTTCACGCATCAGTGGAAATTTGGTTGTAAAATTATTCAGGATAGAGTTTGGAAAATTATTATAATTTTAAAAAGTTTACATTGTCAGTAAATGTAACAAGACAGTTGTTACATGAGAGTTAGCGCTTTTATATTACCATTACAGAAGTTTCAGTGTGGCTGGAAACTAATAGCTTGATCTTTCACAGTATGCCAGTGACATCACAAGACATGCCGGCATGAAAAAGCAGTATTGGTAAATGGGCACAGAGCTTTTAGGCATTTATTTTCTCATGTCAGCCATATAAATTCCCTTCACTGTACAGCGAGTTAGAACACAGAATTCCAGTAATTCCTCTGCCAGAGCTTGCAGGGGTATCTCTATATTGACTGCAGTGTCTGTTCTTGAGGGGCTGTCTTGGGCAGCTGTCCCTCAGTTTGGCGAAAACCCTGTTTATACGAGTTGTAGCATCTCAATGGAAATGACTCAGAAAATGAATAAAACATTGCAAAATTTATCCAGTCTAGAATGGAATTAGCAGGTATGTAATATTCCTGAAGAAAACACCCATATAGTAAAAGGTGGTTTTAGGCTTTTTATTAGCTCATATCTTTACTTAGTGACATAAATGCTACCAATCTGAGTTATGATAATTTGTACTCAGTACCAAGACAGAAGATTATATAATATATATGGATAGGTATGTTATTAATACATACCCGATACTGTCTCCCTTCTGCATAACCTGCATAAGGAAAATTATTCCTTGGATCGCCCAATTTCTCATTTTGAGGTCGCTGGTTAGAAAAATGGTCTGTTGCTGGATCTGGTCTCCTTAATGGCTGAGGATGCATGGAGCTATGCGAAAGAGAAAAAAGAGATTATTAAAAATATGTGTAATAATATACTGCAAATTACATAAAGTGTTAGTTTAAACTGAAATAGAAAAATAATAAAGCTCACTACTGCATGCAGGACATTGAGGCAATAACATTAAGACATCTACATGTTCTGTCTTTTAAGTTCATTTTACTGTCAAACCCTCATCCTGCAAACACAGATAAAAGTGAATTTGAAGCAGCAACATATTCTTTGAGCTTTTTTTCTTTTTCACTGTTACACTGAACAGTGCCATAATATCTAATTTTCTATATTCCTGGGATTATTTTGAAAATGTTTTAAATTCATGATAGGTATACCTTCAACATTTTCAATGTTTATATTAAAAACATCAGACCTTCGTGATGGACCAAAGTATCAGAACACTCCAGTCTGTTTCTGCAGTAGAACCCTGCTACTTATGAGGAAGATGTTCTGCTATCATTTAGTTGCTTCACGGTAAACAAGTTCCCTGCAAAAGTCGTGGGTAGGAGCTGCAACAGTTGGCTGGTGTTAGTGAGGACGATTAAAGTGAGGAAGCACAACTAAGGAAACTGCGTTTCTATAAAGTAATGAATACATTTGTAATTATTACAGGAAAATCATACAAGCCTTTGGATAAATCAGTATTTTAGGATTTAGCTTCAGAAACAAGAGAAACACACACTGACTTTTTCTTTTTGGTGATACATTAGGAAAACAGACTAAGTCTTAGACAGCAAGCTGATAAATTTACTCCTGTGTGCTAGTTCACATTTAGTAATAATGTACAAAATAGTCCTAGAATTCTTGCAGCAATGCTGTTAGAATTATGCAAGGTAGAGGAGAACAAAGAAAGAGGTTATTTTTCTGAATTTTTTTCTATCAAAGACTCAAGCCACAAAATGTATGTGAATAATCCAGTTAAAAGCTTAGCCATTTCTGGATCTTTGTCAGTTGCCGTGCCACGGGCAAAGCTACAAAGTGATTCTTAGTCTCCAAACCAGAGTACAAAGTGAAAATGAGCAAAAAAGACAGAAAAACAGCAGCATACCTGTAATTCTCTAATTGATGTGGGGTTGGGTCATCATCAAAGTCTTGTTGTCTCAGTACAACTTTTGGAATTTGTCGAACCCAGACATCCTATATGCAGGGGATCAGGTGGTTGCACAGAGAAAAATGACAGCAAATTACAAGAACAGCTCACCAGGTACAGTATGTTAGCAGTTGTCTTTGGTATAATAAAAATTGTATAAACCAATTTATCAGTTACAAAATATATTGTTTGCTATATGCACGATTTTAAATTTATAAATTCCATTTATCTAAAAGGCTCAGTAGAAGAAAAGTCTTTACATATTTGGATAATGCAGAAAACGTACCTCTAAGATATAACAGAGAAACACCCACCCAGGTAAATCTCTGCACAATTAAGTAAACCAAGTATTGAGGGTCTTATCAAGGCCTGGAAGTTTTGTTGAGTCTTTTATGATTAAATATTTCAGACAGATGCCACTCCATATATAACAGTTGATTTACCTCTGATTTACGCAAAACTGAGTCAAAAACGAAACTAAATACAGTGATCAACAATTAAGATCAATTGAATATTGTTGTTTAAAGATGGGCTGCTGTCTTGCCAAACATGTTGCTAGAAGAAGAAGGAAAACATCATGAAGAAACAAAGTAAGTATTCTATATTGTTCATAAAACTAGTAAGTGATGTTCGTTTGCTAAAGGTATCTTCGTTTAAAAATATAATGACCTGAAGTAATTTTCTAAACAAGGTACTGTCAGGAGAGAAGCAATGTTCAGGGTAGTTCATCCGCAAGAGCTGATGCTATCAGATGCAGATTTCGGTTTCCTCTCTTGCATCTCTCAGACAGCTTTGGTGAGGGCTCTGCGTACTACGGAGCGGTATGTGCACTAGCCTGCCTTGTTGGCATGAAAACAAAAGCTCAGACAATTAACAATTTACAAGATCACGTTTTCATGACCACCACATCTAGCAAGGAGATGAGGCAGGCAGAAACGTCCCACGGACTGCCTCTAGGCTGCAACTTGCAGTCTGGAGCATGAGACAGTAGTCAGTACTGCAGCCCTTACCCAAAGCAGCTCCTTTTACAGTAGGTTTTCTTCCCTAATAAAGTGTGTAGGATTTGGTCTGATTCACACCTTGAAAATTATAGCATCAGTTGTACAAAATTCAGAATTAGTTAAAAATTAAACAGCACCATCTCCTGGTGAAGGTTGGCTCATGCCTCATTTTTCTCCCCACTGCATTTCCGATATTAGTACTTCACCAATATATTTAACAGGTAATAATGTATCAGACTAGATTATTTTCTTTTTCTTCTCAGACAGCCTATAATGTCTTCTTCTCAGACACTATACACTCCTTATATATGTAGAATAATCACTTAAAGTACCAAATGAGGAAACGAACCACCCCCCCCAAATATATTCCATTTCACGTTTTTTTGTATTTCGTATTTCCCATTCTGTTTTTGAAATGCATTTATCCATCTTTTCCTGTGACACCCACTAGTTCAAGCGATCATCTCTACTATAAAGAACATCTTGCCTAATGGAGAAAATTGGCATAGCAGAGCATTAGCCTAGTCGAAAAGGCAGCACCTGGCCCTTTGGCGATCAAAGTTCAAATCCCAGCTCCGTCACAGATTACCCTTGTAATCCTGTACACGGCTTTGTCTCCTCTATCTCACAGGAATGTTGCAAAGGTCCAGTGAAATATTCTGTTACAAAGGTGATGCAGGTAATTTAATTTCAGATGTTATTTAGGGCATTTCCTCAGGAAATAAATATTCTAGCCCCAAACCTAACTCAGTTGTAGGCAGTGAATTTTAAACAAATATGGCTAGAACTCTGCCAACAATGCTTATGTTATGCACTACAAGCAGTTATGTACTACCATGCATAGATTACGCGGCTGAGAAATGACAAAGCTAAACAATACACTTGGTACAGCCGTATCCTGATCATCTACACTGGTCCCCCCCTGGCCTCCAAAAATGTCATTGGAAAGCATCGCTCACAACAGGAAAAGGAAAGAAGTGTCACATTATTGCAATTTAACCTGTTCCATGAATTTTCATTCCACTTCCAACGGAATAAAATGCATTTGAAAAAACCTTTCTAATTTTCATAAAGTTTTAATCTTAGACTCTGGGCCTGCAGAACTGCGTGATGTTTATTCACAAAGGGTCAGATTCTCAGCTAGTACCACCTGGTTTGTCGTAATTGATTTGTGCAATTATGCTGCTCTGCACCAGCTGGTGACCACATACATCTTCATTACAAAAATAAGCCTGATTTCTTGTCTGTAAAATAAACAACATAGATCAAATCTTTACTAGGCCTCTCTACCTGTACTCCGACACATCTTGTACTTGCAAAATTTACTTTTGCACATATACAAATAGAATATAGGAAGAGACTGAGTGAGTCAGGCCACCTAACGCACTGAGAACAGCCAGTAATGAAAGCATAAAGAAAAAAATATACTAACAGTGTAAATACCTGAAGTATTATCAATACATCAACGTAACTTCCAGCCAGCGGCAGTGAAGTCATTAGTTGACTGAGCTGGAGTGGAGCCTGTTCCTGCATTTGGAGCAGCAAAGGCAGTGGACGAATACAAGTGGGACCCCACATTGACACTTTCTGCACTTCAAAAGGGTTTGCTTTTTGGACTCTGTCTAGTTTGGCCTGGGCACTGCGTGTTCATCAGAGATGGAAGCATACATTCTGGTTAGTTTAATCTAAAGGGGAATCGGTTTGTGCACTCCCAGGCTGCTCCAAGATGTGAACCACAGCACAGTAAGTCGAACAACCAGGAAGTTACCTACCTGAAAGCACACATCCAATCTGAACACCTCTGCCTCCCTGAATAGATGTCTGATTTTTTTAAAAACTAATTTACACTGTGAGTACATACTGCTGGATTATGCGTTTTATCAAAAAGCACTTTTTTTGTTGAAAACTTCTGCCTGATTTCATTTGACATTGCCTAGTTCTTACATTACAAGCAGGGAATAGTAATTTCTCACATAACCTCTCCTCACACAGAAATCAATACTTGATGACCCTGAAATTCTAGATGCCTACATTGCTTGCTGAGATGTGGGCTCAAAATTACATACAGTAGTCAAAATGTAGGCATAATTAAGATTCGTGCAGTGGTATTACAATATTCCTCATGTTATTTTCAGTTTCTTCCTAAAATCCCTAGCAAAACAAAACTTTTTCAGGAAACATTTCTCTAGACGCCCCTCCTGAGTTCTAATTTCTCATTTAGAGTTGATCGCCACGTACTCAAAGTTAAAACTGCTTTTCTACATGCATTAGTTTGCATTTGTAAACAATAAATTTCATTTGTCATTTTCTTGTCCAGTCAATCATTATTATATGCTCCTTCTGTACTTCTTCATAGTAAGGCTTATTTTTGACTACTCTGAGTACTACAGTGTCATCAGCAAAATGTGTCACCTTACTTGCACTGCCTTCTACCTGTTCTTACATGAACACTACACAAATCCTCATGGAACTTTGCCGATAACGCTCATACAAGCAAAAAACCTTGAAGACAAATAGCCAATCCTTCCTCTGGTGAAGTATAACTAGTAAACAGCGAAATGAAACTGTAGGCATGGCTCTTCCCCAGCTTAAACTGGTTGAAGTCTGGACAGCACACCAAACTCTTCCCCTCTGGCTACGTACTCCTGCCCCTCTCCTTCCACTGGCACCGGTACCAGTAATAACATTCAGCAACCTAGTTCATGAGCTGATCAGGCTGAAACTAGCTCAGCCAGCAGCTGGAACAGCACAGCAACGACACAAGGGAAGAGGCTGTAGCAGGTGGCTTGAGCTCATAGCCAAATTATCTCTCTTTTTAATGCTGGTCTTCTAACTGGCCTAAAAGGAAATATTTATTTGAACATCCTTATAAAATAATCCCTAGTTCTTTGTTTTCTCCTGTGCAAATTAGAGTCACTTCATCCTTGATGAAGAGTTTCACCTTCTCACATGCATTTAGATGATTTGGGAAATCAAATACTGGGCAAATAGAAGGAAGACTTTGAACTCAGATTACCTTTAATTTTACCAGATGACCTTTTTTTGCTATTCATATACCATTCTGTTGAATCACAAAATCATGTCTGACTTCCACTAGAATTAAGAACATGTGATATGCCCCCACACGCCAACATCTCTTACCCTTGGCGACTCCTGATAAACGTGCCCCACGTTACCAGCTGTTTCAGCACTAAATCCAGGATTATATTGTGCTTCACGGTATGGAGGATGTGTCTCGTTCCTGGTTGGGGGAAAACAGTGTGAATTTAGAGCATTAGCAATAGTTTTGAGGGTCTTGATGAATCTTTTTGTAGGGCAGATTGGTTCAACGGCCATATCATAGGTTTAGATGTACTGTGGCAATGACTATGTGAGAGCTATGTATTATTACAATTTTTCTATGACAGAGGAAGTACCAGTACACACTAATGGGGCTCCATGAAAGAAGAACAGAACCATATTGTCTATGTACTTGGGACAGGTATCAGTGGGGAAAAAAAAAAGATAAAAGTGCTGAAAACAAAAAGCAGCTCAAATTGCCAATGCCTAGGACCAAAGAATGGGAGAAATTGTGTTTAATCACCAAGACTCTTGTCAATGTTTATTAGTCTTTTTTTTTGTTTGTTTGTTTTAAAAACTTGTGGAAAGAAAGCCAACCCTTAATAGTAAATAAATCAGCAAGACAGATTTGGTAGTCTTGAGTTAAAGTAGTAAATACTTACCAATCTTTAAAGCTTGCCTGGTTAGCCCTAAGGAAGAGAAGCAATGACTTAGAGTGAAGTTCTGCACACAGCAGTCAAATGCTGAATAACTGTTAAGTGCTCTGGCAAGATGCTTTGATTTAGTTTTAAATTGCATAGACAGTATTTTGGCAGAGGATGCTATATGGCAAGCTTGTTGACTTAAATATCCAGAGGTTAAAAATTAATCAGATACCAGACTTCTTTTGCTTTACTTCCATTTTGATTATAAAACCCCTTTTAACTGCATCCAGATTCACTTACCCAGCTTTTTCATTTTTGCAGTAGTAGACGCAGTAAAATATTCCAACAACTATGATAACCAGTGCTACTGCAGGAAGAATAGTTACTAAAATCAAATCTAGAGTGTTCCAAAGGTGGTTACATTTGGGACCCATGTACCAATACTCCTTCCAGTCCACTCTGAAGTAATCACATCTGCAAATAAAAATATTAATTTTTAGCAACATTATTTTAATTTAAAAGTAAGTAATATAAAAAAAGGAAAGTATTTTGCTATATAGTTATTTATTATTGCATACTGCAGGGGTCAAGAGATTCAATATTTTTCCTGTTTGTCTAAAGACATTTCTTACCTTAGTAATACACATCTTATTCTAGATTTGATGCAAATGCACTCTGTCAGGCTCTGGGTCAACCAAGCCCAAGTTAGCATTCCGGCAAGTCCAAGATAATAAGCTTTGTCGAGAATAGGGTATATTACCCAAGTCATGGCATGATTCTGTAAGCATGGCAAAGCTTCTGAATTTCCAGAATACACTACGCAGATAAAATTGAAATGTCACATTGCTATCTATCATCATGATACTGATGCACCTTCTGTGAAAAAGCAGCAACACAACCCATAGTAGATTGACAGAATATGTCCCCTCTGCTTTTAAGAGAAAGACTTCTAATCGGATAAGAATGTTGCTTTTTTAAAAAAGCTAAGTTATTTTAATTAATTAAGGGCTTCTTTTTTTTCCCCTCCCAAAGCATTACTTCCTCCGCTAATACAAAGAATACCACTAGAACGGAATGTCCCCAGCCATTCTCACGATGGGAAGGTTCTTTTGATAGGGATTTTGCATCATTTGTTGATGCAAACATTCTGGATTTAGGTAACCTTTTCTGAAAGTCGGATCTTGATCTCCACTACTGAAAATTATTTTCTTACTGCAATTTATATGCAATATTTGTATTGACCTGGATATGATTTATAATACATATTTATAGTTTCAAGAATGTAGCATTCTATTTCTTTGGAGTTGCACTAACATTTAGACAGCGTACTGAGTTATCTAATCTGGTATATTGGCTTCAACTGGAGGCTAGCTGCATGTTCATGAACAACAGACTGGGTCACAGAGAAATTATTGCCTTGAATCCACCAGGTAATCAGATGAGATTCATAATACCGCCCTGGTATTTTCTTGCTGATTTCCCGTCAAGTCCAAGGGTCAAGCTATATGTAAATAACAAATATGCTAGATATGGGAACAAGATTTTCTACTCAGATGACTAGATTTTTTTTGTTAAATGAAGGAAAAAAAACCAACTACATAACGGAGACTAGGATATTAAGATATCTGATTTTTTTTTTTTTAAACTCTAAAGAAATTTTGATCAACCTGGGAAAAAAATTAACTTGCCATTACACAGCATAATTCAGGTCTACAGTAAAATATGATACAATAGCGAGCATATGGAAATTGAGGATTATAGTGATTACCTAAATTATAAATTACATGGCCTACACATATTCTAAAAAAGAAAATGCTGCACTCAGATCCCAGATTTGATGCTTTGTAGCAGAGTTATGAGCTTATGCAGATTGTGAATGAAGATCAACATCTACTTTCATGGATCACATTGCAGGGTCTAAATTTAGTTCATCATTAATAATATATTTGACAAGCTGCATTTACATAGCATATATTTAAACAAACAAACAAATCCCATGCCCTACCTGCAAAAAGGTTTTTCATTCTTACATTGACAAGAAATATTGGTAGGACAGAAGTTGTCTGTATTACCCAGGCAGGCCTTAAAGTCCTCAACTGCAGTGCAGTTGGCTGTAAATTAAAACAAAACAAATATTTATTTAATGCAATTATACAGGAACATACTGTTAGTGGGCTGTATTTCTAATTACATCAGGAATTTAAGCTTCATATGACGTACTTTGTAAATGACACTAAATCTTACTTTCCAGTGACTTGCTCCTTCAAAATTTTGAAGTTATTTGAGAAATGAAGGTTTACCTGCTTAAATTACTTTACTCTGAATTTGTACCCATCTTCCAGTTAGCCAGTAAATTGTATGGCTTATATCATTATGATTTCTATCGCATCATTTAAGTGTGGTTGTATCTGAATTCCACTATGTATCATCTCTGGATTGTTGGCAAAGGCTAAAAATCATGAAACCCATTTGAGACTCAGACCCTCCAATTATAATCCAAATGAAAACCTTTTTGTGTGTTTTGCATTGGGATTATTCCTTATTTTGGTCTACAAAAGGATTTGTTTTGCATTAATGTCAGTTTTCCTCCATCTCTTTTACTGTGTAAACATTGTGGGCTGTAAATTATGTTCCAGAAGTTGAGTGCTTGTAGTACTTCACGGGCAAATGGCTGTCTAAAAATAAATTCCTCATCAGCAACCTTAATCAGACATCAAAAGTCACCATGTTTGGCACTCAAACCCTACATTCCTTGCTACCTGTTTCCTTCCTATGGAGGACTCGGACTGAATGCTGTACTCATCATTCATAGCAGCAAGCTACTTGCTGACCCAGAGGTTCTGGTGCAAAGCCACTGAAGTCTATGATTGACAGAGATGTACCTGAAATCTTGACCTATAATGTATAACCAAACAAGCAATTGCAAGACACCACCGGAGATGTTGAGAGAGAAAGCTAAAACCAGGACTGTACATTGCAAGGCCAAGCACCATTACGATGCTCAAAAATACCCAAACCAGCCAATACAGCTCAGTATAATTTTGCATAACTTTTCACAATGAGAAGATACGCATTTAGAATTAAGCCAGGGAGTCAGAAGTGGAAGAGATCTCTGAGCAGATCCTTCTGAGCCTACCTGGCAACTGACAGGAAGAAAGTAGCATCAGAGCATATTGCTCCATATTGCTATTGTAAGAGGGGTTTTACACCATGAACAGGTAGATTAGCAATCTCATGACTAATGCATTATTAGCTAGAGGAAACTATGCTATGAGCAGTCTTTATTTCGAAAAAGAGATGGAAGCCTCCTTCCTCCCCACTGTCCAAGACAATCTAATCCAACATTTACTGTTAATCAGAGATAAATCTAAATGATTACACAGTGATCGAGGCTTGCATTCCTACAAATCTGTTTACATATATTGTATTCCTTTCTCTCAAGAGGGCATCAGCATTGAAGCATTTTCCAAGACAACCTAAATATAAACCATATGACTATGAAGTACAGAACAATGGAAAATCCCTAGTAGTATTTGGCATCGTATTATCTAGGAGATAAGCAGCACTAATGTTTTTTAGTTACCTGTATGATCAGTAACAGAATTACAATTCTTTTAGCAATGTTACAAAAAAATACTAAGGGAGTAGAAAATACCTAGTGTGATTCTGTTGGAGAGAGAAGTAGCATGTGCCCTTTGATATTAATGCTGTAATATTCCGTATCAGTAAGGAACACAGTGCTGAGCCCTTCATAGTACTGTAGTCTATATAAATGCAAAGTTATCCTTAAAGTGGTGACTTTTTAGGGCAATTTAAAGGCTAAGTAGCATAAAAAAAAAAAAAACAAACTCAAATCATAGACTAAAACTCTATTAGAAAAGTAGTAACTGCAGCTGGTTTACATCACTATCAGGTTAGCGATACCTAATTACCACTAACTGGTAGCTACCAGGTAAAGAACAGTGATAATAATAAAACAAATAAATCAAATCAATCTGTAGGAAATCTGTCCATAAAAAAAATTCCTGACTAATACTGTATACTCTAACAGAATCACAGACAATTCCATATAACTTAACTTCTCATTTAAAATAACCTTTTTATCAATGCATTCTGGCTGTCATGTTCTTAATTACTGATCATTTTCTCCCTATTCATTTCAAAAAAAATTTCTAAAAATACTTTCTATAAAAAGAATGTATAATTTTTTTAAATCCATATACCAAGTATTTCTTCCTACTGAAAAAGAACGAAACCATCTTACTCGTTTAAAATGCATCCTTTTAATATTGACAGATTGACTCAAAATGGTTCAAAACCACCAGAATACCTAGTATTTCCATTGTAATTCATATGTTTGCAATCTTTTTAATGTACAGAAGCACAGGATAACAGGTGAAAGCAAAAACACTTTTGTCTTGCATACCTACCTATGTCTCTGTGAAATATCACCATACTCTTGGCAGTACAGAACTCAAGAGCTATGAAACACTTCGTAACAGCAAGCACAGGGAAGCAGTTGTCACACACAGGTCTTAACATTTTCATTGTTTTCCCATTATTTAAAAATAAACTCTACCTAAACCATAAGGAGAATTTCCTCAGAAGCAATACCCTTGGGACTGCAATACCATAGCAGCACTACCATAGGTAAACCAGGCATTTGATAGAAACATCCATATTCTGACAAGCTGTAAAGCAAAAATGCAACGAGGTCTTACGTTTTAAAGCTTCTTGTTCACTCAGGGAATCGCCGGCCACGAACAGAATGAAAAGCAAGACTTTAAAAATGGACATCCTGAAGCTGATTGTGATGAAAGACGGTTTCTTCCAGATTTTGCTAGCAGCAGAATGCACTCCCCTTTCTGCTATTATTCACTGTAGCAAGTCAAGGATCATGGATTTTGAGCTTGTTTTACAGCATCCTTCTCTATAAAGAATCACTAATTAACTTACAACCGATACAACTTTCTGATAACTTGTCCAGCATATTTTCTTTTATGACAACTGAGCAGTGCCATAAAAATGTCTCATTAATCTTGCTATTTTGAATTTTTGAATACAGTTGCAAAGTATTCCTTTAAAAACATAGGTCTCAACACGCTAAGGTATCTGTCACAAGCATTTTTCTTTTATCTTTTTAGGGTTATGTTACCTTTTAAAGATAACAAACTTTGAATGTATTTGAAGACAAAGTTCCTTGAATATACGTTGGTTTTAAAGACACGTCAAAGACGCGGATCAAGAACATAAAAATGATTATTAAAAGGTTATTATCAGGCTTGTCTTACGACTTTTCTGCTCCTAAAACAAATGAAGTCTTGCTACAATATTATTGCTGCTCTGATTGCTAGGCGCAGCTGCAGCACATAGTATGTTACTGACACCTCTTCCTTCAACCCCCAATCTATTTGATTACAACACATGGTTGCAAACTGTGTGAGTTTTTCATTATTTCCTAATTTCCAATCTCATGATTTTACCAAAACTTCTCCCATAGTTCGGCATGAAATATCATACATATTTGTCCACATTACTGCCATATGTATTTATGCATTTTCAAATCAGATTCTAAAAGGAAATTAAACTAAAATTTCTGTAGCAACTAGACACAAATTCTTACACTGTCCCAATTTCTCTGAATCTGTTTTCTTTTTGCAAATGTGGAATTACATTGAGCTTTCTTTCAGTACAAACTGCAGCATTATTTAGATATTTTTATCTGCATATATAAAGGTAAAAAGATGCCTGTTCCCCACAAATAATTGCACGAGATTCTGGTCCCTGTCACAACAGCTCAATTTACTACAGCTGGAACTGAAACAAAAACTTATTTCATAGCATGCTTTTTTCCCCCTAGATTAAAAAAGAATTTAAAGGCAAAAGTTGTCAAAACTCACTTTAATGAATATACCTTATAAATCTGTTGGAAAAGGTAATTCGTAAATTAAAGCTAAGTGGAGGCTTGTATCAAGGAGGACAAGGAGTCCAGTATATTCTAGCACCACGCCAGAACATTTGTTCATAACTAAGAGAAATAAGTATTGCAAATCATAGTGTTGACTACACCAAGACTACTATTTGCAACTTAATGATAATTCTTATTAAGATTTTGCTAGTGACCCAACTCAATGCTGTTTAATTTGTGATATCTAAATGTAGCACAAATGAAAGATGTAGTTCTCTTTCAGATTTTTTTTTTTTTTTTTAATAAAAAAATTCCCCAAGGCAGGCAGGGAAGGAGTGATCAGAACCAGATGGAGAAGCTTTGGTAGGCAAAAAAAAAATCTCCAAGTTTAATTTTAAGAGTATACTTTCTCATATATATCCATCTGGAAAGAGAAGGGATAGAATGTAAAAATCTGACTGCATAAAATAGGGAGATGAATTCGGGGTAAAAATAGCCAGATAGGAAAACAAGCACAAACATATTTTGAAGACTAAGAAGGAAGGATTGCTTTATTAGATTACAGTTCAGAAAAGAGACTAAAGTGCGCTTCCTGGTCGTTTACTTCCCTACATCATGAGACGAGAATGAGAAGGGAATGAGAAAGTCAATATCCCAAGTTAACATCCCAGAGATTCATCTTTCTACCTGGAAGTTTCTGATTTTCTGCTGGCAGCATTTTCTTCCAAGCCTGGCTTTGATGCTTGCACCATGAGCTGTTTTCAAATTTTCCAAGCAACACCTCAGGACTGTCTTGAAATTCTGTGTCTCATCAAAGACAGACAGGGAAGAAGACATCTTAGACAGGAATGTGACATCTTTTTCCATGATACTGTCTTCCCTAGATCACTTTTTCAACGCTTACTAGAATCTTCTCTGTTCACCATTACCAACATAAGCATCTATCCCAGCTACTGCTGAAGTATTTTGTTGTCGTTTATACTGTTAAAACAATCCACAATGTTAATTAGGAATGTAAGATGTGCTCACAGCTCTCACAGAGCAATCCAAGGCTTCTTTTCGTACTGCCAAGTTATTTCCCCTTTTCACCTACGCCAGTAAAAGTTGGTATGTTTCCCCCATGAGTCCCTCACACTGTTGTTTCCCACCTTTCCTCCTTGATTATCCTCCTTTCTGTGGTCTGCAATACTTTTAATCTTCTCAAGTTCTTTTTCTTCCAGAAGTGCCAAGAATCCAAGTGCAAGTAACTGTATCAGGGAAAAATAAGCAAATAAAATGTAGAGAGCTATCAAAATGTAAATATATGATTTAAATGTTATCCTAAACTCTCTCAGACTACTCTTCAATGCAGCCTTCTTCTGTCTACATTAGAAAGCCGTGTCTTGGCAATCTCTTAAACACAGAAACTTTTATCTCAACCCATAAAATGCTGTTTGTAATGTGTAAATACTAGAATGAATTAAAATGGCTAAATTAAAAAAAGGGTATCTCTTGATGTTCACAGTAATTAAACTCTTCTTACCTCTGAAATCTAAGATTTTCTGACCTATGACTTGCAACCATCTTCTAAAAAGGTAATGAAAGCTCTATTAATTTGAGACTTTTGAATGGAAAAAATAGGCAAAAACACCGGAATATTTAACACAGGAAATTGTACTCAGCTGGCAGGATAAAGACTGTTTCGCTGACCTACACCACATTTTTAAACTTCAGTTTCTATGGCTCCACATACAGCTTGCATATTATAAACCGTAGGTCAAGATACATAAACACAACCCAGTGACACAAATACTTAGTGTTAGAACTGAACTGTATACTGAAAAGTAGTTCAGCACACTTCTACGCTATTTTGGTTTTTATTTGACAATGTTACTATTTATACGTGATGCCTATTTACGAGTTCTAATCACCGACTGTGTAGTCATATGTAGACACCGAATGGAGTATTTGTGAGTAATTTGGTGTAATAGTAGAGAAACTGTCCCACTTTGTCGTAACAGCTATTTTCTGCATCAGCACGTACTGGCTATTCTGTTTCCCTGGGACTTTAGAAAGATTCTCCTATCCCTCTCCTTGGAAGTTCTTTCTACCGCTGTACTACATGGAGGCATCTGAGTCCACAGTAAAGGGTTTTGCAATTTAAAGTCAACAAATTATGCTGAGCTTGTTATTTTGGTCTTGGTTCAGTCAAGAATGATTGACTTAAAACCTGCTTTACTCAAACTCATCTTAGCAAGCATTATCAATTACAATATACAGTAGTGATAGCTAATTAAGTTACCTATAATAGTTCATACTTGAAACCTTATTGAACAGAAGATTCCAAATGCACACCATTTGTGTCAGAGGATTATATCAACAGCCCACTGATTGCCTCAATTAATCAAAGTTAACTCCTTTGAAGTATTACTTAATACTGTTCTGGTCAATGAAAGAAAAAAAAAAAAAGAAAAATTGAGAACACACCCTTATTTCATTATAAATATTACTGATAAATGCAAAATAAATAAACGCGTACAGTAACTACTTCATTTTACAAATGAAATACATCTGCCTAGAGCGTAGAACTCATCCAGGGAAGGAGTAGTTTAACAATACAACTAGAGAGGAATTTATTTCTCCGATTACTCTATATCCTGTGTTCATTTGCAATAGCTCTAAAGTAGCAGCAAATATGAGGAAAATCCACACAAAGGGAATGTGCACACTAATGTTACAGTCTTAGAGCAATAGATAGGAAACACAAAACAGCAAGTGCCACAACAGCAGCATTTCTTTGCTGTTCTTCATCTCTTCTGGGCTGGAAGGGATGTATTTTTTAGAGCTTTTTATCCCTAAAATGTTTGTTTATTCAATTTCAGAGCTGATCTGCCCTCAAGACCTCCCACACGGTACTCAATTTCATAGACTGACATTGCTGAATTGTTTTTCCAATATAAAAGCATCTGTGCAAGTTTACCTGTGGATGACTGGCATCACAGTATTTCCCCATTTACCTAACTCCCACAAAGGAAACTCCTGCTACTTTTCTACTCCTTATACAACCACTATTTTTATAAGCATTGAGACAGACTTATTCCTCCATGCCAATGACTTCAGAAACTGCAGGGCTAAGGGAAAACAGTAGGAGGGAGAAATGGAGATCTGAAAAAGGTGCTGAACACCAAATCTCTAGTATTTAATCTCTTTCATTATTAAAATATTTTATATTATTTATTTCCTGGATGATTTCTACGAAGCTATAAGTTAGACATCAAGAGTTTGATCAGATGTACTGTAAAATGAACACTTAAGTTTTTAAAGTGTTTTAACAGTCTTAAATATATTGTGACAAGCAGGAAGCCTTTAAACCCAGGAGGAATGTGGTGGGCCACAGGAGGAATATAAACTCAGAAGACTCCATCTGGGTGGGGGAAGTAGCCTCAGCTGCTACACGTACCCTGAACATCAGCCCGAGCCAAGTTACAAACCAAGTCACAAATGGAAGAAAGGGAAAGAAGGGTTTCTCCATCTCTTTCTTTAAGACTGAACGTAGCCTCAGAAAAGTGTGCAGGGCACGCTGGTCCTGAAGCTAGCTAACAGGGATGAGACAGGAGCTAAGAAAGAATCCTGTAATCGTATATATCTACCATTAAGCTTTGTTGGTTAACTTTTCTCTTTTGCAATCTTGTTTCCTTTGTGAGAAAACAATAGAAAATACTCCTCTGATAAGGATGAATGGCAACAAAAACTGACATCTTAGCACACCCCCAAACTGTCATTTTGCCTTTTTTTAATATTTAAAAAGTCTTTTAAAAATTCCCAACATTCACTGCGCAACAAGATCCTGAATCTGCAATGGCTTTTATGTGAATGACTCATCATCCTGAAGAACTAGATAGGAATAAAT